GCGAATCGCGCGTCGGAACGCGGCGACCACGCCCTCCTCCTCCACTGCGGCGGCGGGGCGGGGACCGAGAGACGCGAGAGCCGCTGCCATCATCGCCTTGTCTGCCTCATCCTTAACGACGACGAAGACGCTCGAGCTGCATCCGTGGAGGTCGTGAGCGGCGTGGATGTCGTGGATGACTTGTGCTGCCCTTGTCGCTCGGCAGATGTCGCCGCTGCAGACGTTCTCGAGGCACGGGGGAAGTACGGACAAGCGGGGCAGCCATTGCTCCGAAGGTTCTTCCAAGGTCATCGGCAGCGTCCTCTCGCGGGAGAGGAAGGTCCGGCGGGAATGATCCCCGATGGCGAGGAGGAGGTCGGCGACGTTCCGGCTGTTGCGCTTGATCCGGTCGAGGATGTCGAGCCGGACGCGTCCGGGCCGCAGGTCCTCGAGGGCGACGTCCCTGGACCACGCCCGGTCGTTCGTCCGGAACGCGAGGGCGATGGACCGGATGCCGGTCGCGTGGGCCGCCTTCGACCAGTGGGCCGAGAGGGCCGCGGCGGTCAGGCGGCCCTCGAAGCCGAGGGTGATCGGGACTTCGTCGATGAGGACGTGCCTTCCTTTGCCTCGAATCTGCACGTAGTCCATCAACCTGTGCAGGTCATTGTGGATGTCCTTGTGGATGTCCTTGTGGAGGCCTTCCTTCCTTCCATCCACCACTTCGATCTTCTCCATGCCTACCAAGATGAAGAAAAAAACTTATTTTTCAATTGGCCGTGCCACGCTAAGTCAGGTATGTGCGACATGAACTCATGTGCGACATGAACTCATGTGCAACATGAACTCAAGGGCGACATGAACTCAAGGGCGATCATCGCGATTAGAAGAACGCGACACGAAAGGCCCGTCAGTTTTGCTGACCGATCGGTATAAGATCGAGTAAGAAGCGCGTGGGAAAATCGAGCAAGAAGCGCGTGGGACAAAGACGAGGAAACAAGCCTTCGAGTCAGAATCCCCACCGCAATCCTCAACCCTTTCGTACGTAATTACGCTGCGATACAAAACTCATAACGTAATAATATAAATAACGATGACGAATAAATAACGCAGCCCTTTCAGGACTCGAACGCCCTCCATCGAGCTAAATAAAAAATTAATTAAAAATCATAATTAACGCCGATTACTTGAAAAAAAAGGAAATGAAATCCTGACCCTTGAAGTCCTTCCGGAGCTCCCCCGTGAGCATCCCCCCGGCCATGTTGACCACGAGGACCTCGCCCCTCCTGGCCAGGTCCAGGGCCCTCAGGCGGAGGACGAGGGTCTTGCCGGTCCCGCTGCCACCGCAGATGAAAATCGCCGACGATTTCCTTTTCACCAGTTCTCTTTGCTGGGGAGTGAGGATCACAAGCTTCAGTTGCTCCCCGCTGAACAACTGAGTCGAGAGCGTCTGAGTCGAGGGCGTCTGAGTCGAGGGTGACTGGGTCGAGGGCGACAAAGTCGGACAGCGTAAGATCGCCATCGAAGCGCAGGCGAAGGACAGCTCAAAGATGTCCTTGAAGATGTCCTTGAGGGCGGGATCCGGCTCCCCGGGCTCCACCACGATGCCATGCCTCCTCAGGAACCGACCGAGCCCGACCGAGTCCGCCAGATCTTCCGCGGCGAGGACCCGCGCGACGCATCGCTCGCACCCCGCGGCTCTCAGCAGGTCCGCCTTCGAGAGCC